ATGAGCTCTCGTACGCCCGGGAACCCCGCTGCCCCAAGTCCCTGGTAAGATGTGGGGGAGCTGAACTGGGACCCCCCCAACTCTCCTCTCCCTGGTTCGAGGCACTCGTGTCTGACCCTCTTCCTTCTTCCCTCCCGTAGCCGGCCACCCCCTTCAAGCCCCCCGTGGTGGTGGAGTGGGCGCCGGGCGTGGCCCCCAAACCGGACCGGTTCACCATCAGCAAACACGTCCAGCAGATGGTGGAGGTGAGCCAGGCGCCCGCCCCTCAGCACAGCCCCCTGGGCCTCGGGCAGCATAACACGGACGGTAGCTACCTGCCCCCAAGCCAGCCGGGGGGCAGCTGCCCTGTGCCAAGGCCCCAGCTGGGTGTGGGGTGCATTTGCCATGTGTGTTGGACAGGTGTGCAGTTGCCGGGGGGCGTCACGGTGTGCAGTTGCCAGAGGCGTGTCACGATGTGCAGTTGCCGGGGTGTGTGTCACGGTGTGCAGTTGCTGGGGGGCGTGTCACGGTGTGCATCACACCCATTCCCCGCCCAGGACAGGAGCAAAGGCATCAGTCGGCTCTAGCCAGCCCCACCACTTCCCAGGGCCGAGCCCCACACGGGAAGGGGGCTAGGCAGTCGATGCCACCCCAAGGCCTGGAAGGGGCAGGACTCAAACCGGGGACCTTCAGGGGAGCAGCTCCCCTGGCTGGCTGCAGCAATGAGGCTGTTATCCCTTTATATGGACCAGTCACTGCCCAGGCACGGCCACCTGCAGCCTCAGGGGAGGGGGTGTACTCGGGACCATATAGGATTCGGCCCACCCCCAGCAGGCAAAGGGGTGGGGGGTATCTGTCCATTTGATGCCGAGATTCAAAGCAATTCTCCCCAGCCGTACCCCACCCGGACGGGCTGACAGGTCAGAATGGGGTGTCACCCTAGATCAAGGGGGGGGCTCCCAGTGGGTATTGGGGGCAGGCCTAGGGGCGGGCTTATGCTGTGCTGCCGCTAGTTAATGCTTCTTCCCCCTCCCCCCCAGTCTGTATTTAAGAATTACGACCACGACCAGCGCGGCTGCATCTCCCCTGAGGACTTTGAAAAGATTGTGGCCAGTTTCCCCTTCTCCTTCTACGGCCTGGGGAAAGACCGGTGAGTGTGTGCTGGCGGGAGGCTGGGAGCCAGGACGCCTGGGTTCTATCCCCAGCTCTGTCGCGCCCTGGCTCCGTGCCTCAGTTTCCCCCCGCAAGGCCCCTTTGTCAGTATCCCCCCCCCCCCCGTTTCCGAGGCAGCCCCCTCACTGTCCCGTTCCCGTCCCGGCAGCGAGGGGCCCTACAGCCGCCAGGAGATCACCGACTACTTCATGCGGGCCTGCGCCGTCTTCTCCAAGCTGGGCCTCGGCTTCCTGCACGACTTCCAGGAGGCCACCTTCAAGAAACCCACCTTCTGCCACAGCTGCAACGGCTTCGTAAGTGACCCTGCCCCACAGCGCCCCCGGCAGCCGGGACGGGGTGCCCCAAATCCCAGGCCTGC